TGATGTGGGCAAAAAGCCTCAGATCTTTCCTTTGTACTTTAGTTGTACAGAAACATGATACTTAGAGTGGCAGCAGCCAAGTTGCAACAACGAAAGCTGACACAGCTCAACACTGAGACTAGTAGAAAAAAAAAATGGCTGGAAAGGGCTTGGATTCTGATAACCCCTGAGTTGCCAAACTAATCCTTGAGCAGTCAAGTGCTGTATTCCTTGTTAAGTAAAGTAATAAATGTTCACATCGTTTAAATCACTTTTTATTGGACATTCTGTTACGCAGCTAAAAGCATCCCCACTTTTACAGCTGCCAGCCACCTGTCTTAGCAAGCTGAGTGCCCAATTAATAGCTCAGCAATCATTTTGCTTTAATTACAACAGGAAGACATATCCATATACTGAATACCATTTTTTATGTGATGCTCACATTTACCTTGGCTTTCTGTTAGCAGGAGCAAAAAGGACTACTACTACTACTGACTTCATTAAGCAGCTACTATATACCAAACATGATGCTAGACATTTTAACTAGGGTTAATCATCATAGCAGCTTTCAAATCAACCCTATTTGGGAAAATAGAACCATGCTTATATATGTCCCATTGCAATTAAACAATTTAGCACCTCCTTCCATCACAAATGTAGACTACAAAACACCAGTACTGGGGACTTTGTGACCTATCAATGTCATAGATACATGCATATTTCGCTGTAGCTGTTGAAGAAATCTTGAAATAATTTTGATCCTTACCACTGTTTCAAAAGTACCATAATCAGTAAAGCATTATTTAATCAATGTGTTAATAAAGATGCATATATGCTACTGCCTCACACATTTGTAAAATGTTTCAGTAGGTGAACTGCAATCTGACTGACTTCCTCTGTAATCCTATGTGTTTTCTGTTGTGAGTTCAAAAAGTTTATTCTAAGGGAAGATCCCATAGGTTTCACCAAAGAGAAAGGAATCCTTGGTGCAAAAGGGAGGATGGGCCCTCTATAACCAAGCCCTTGGAATCAGTCCTAATATTGTCAATCCCCTCTCCAAACAGAAAAACAAGGAAATGTTTTTAAAACGCAAATAAGATACAGATTTTCCCTTGGTTAAGCAAGAAACAAATGTAAACTCCTAACTATGACCTCACCCTACAGGATGATTGGACCTTATTCAAAGTCTCCTCCTGTGCTTTTGAACTCTTCTGTCACCCATTCTTTTTTTTTTTTTTCCCAGCCATACTAGTCTCTTTCCATTTCTTTAAACTCTCCAAGCTGCTGCCCAGCTCCAGCACTCAGTTCTTGCTGTGTTCTCTACCTGGAATGTCTGCTCTCTGGGCAGTCACTTCATCCTGTGTTCTAGTAATGAGACAGGACATCACCTCTACCGAGAAACCTGCCTACCAATGTACCTTGAGTAGCAGACCTCCTGTCTCCACCTGCCCCTAGTTCATTTCTGTTTGGAGAAACTTTTATTAAGCCATTTACAAATGATAGAATTGAGGCTCAGAATATTAGGCTATTTAACCAAGACCACTCAGTGACAAACTTAGTTTAATTGGGGTCTTGGGCCTCCCTTTAATGCTGCCACTATTACCTGCAACATTTCTAACCCATCATTGAAAGACAGAAACAACCCAACATAAGATTTTTTGAGACTTCAGTGCCCCATTGCTCAAGGATCTCTGCCAAATGAACTCCCAACGTTACTGCCTTGAATAGCCCCAGGAGAACCGAGTTAAATGAAAGTATAGTATCTGCATAGAGTGATTCTGTCTCTGCTTCTAACACAGCCTTTTTGTCTCTGAATCTTATAAACATAAACAACATTCTAAAACCAAATGGGGAGGGTAAAATTCAGAAAAGGGTAAATTCACAAAGGAACAAACTATATAAACCCAGAGGTAAATACTGATACATAAAAATACACATGGATAAGGCACTGTGTGCTAGCGGATGTGGATCATGATTCTTGCCATACAAGTCTTACTAGCCAACTCAAAGAGGGAAACAGAGTTACATGGAACATTTCAAAGGTCAAAACATTCTAAAAGTTTCCAGGAGGAGCATGATTATTTTTAGTTTCTAAGATGTGAGAGAAGTCTCCATTCTGAGTCCTTCCAATGGAAGCTGGCAGAATACACTTAACACACATGGTTTCAAAATTTTCTCAGTGAAATGAACATATCTTTTTATCCTACTTCACATGAAATTTTTGAAATATCCTTGTAGTAATCAGCATTCTAAATTACAGTCTTACAATACACACATCAAGCTTCATATATTGCTATCACTTAGCATGCCTTAATAGATACGGCTGGTGCAATGCCAAAAAATGTGCTGTATTCATTGTCTTGTTATTTAAAGCATGGTCAATAGGCCAACAACATCAGCATCACTTAGGAACTTGCTAGAAATGCCCCCATCCTAAGCCTATTCAGTATTAGTAGTTTACTGAAAAAATCTGCAGGTGACGCCTATGCACATTTAAAGATTTAAGATGCACAGATCTAATGGTTGATGTTTATCTGAGGAAAATATTTTAAGAATTGTAATTCATTCACTCAATCAACAAATATTGAGTCCCTGCCAATAGGAAAGGATATCTTTAAAAAAATTATGCTAAAAGCATTACCACAAGGGTGAATATTGATAAGTGAGATATCATTAAAACTGAGAAACCAACTCTTAGAAGAGACAATATTTGCAAAAAGAGCAAAAAAGTTCTCTAAATACGTGCTGAGCACCGCCTCGGTGCTGAGGAGACAGCAATGAAACAAACAAAAATTCTGCCCTGATGAAACTTACATTCCATCTAGTTAAAAACACAAAGAAACTGAATAAGGCAGGAAACGAGAATGAGTCAAAAAAATATCTGGGGAAAGTGTTCTAAGCCGAGAGCACAAAGAGTACCAGCACCCTGAGGACAGAACACCTCCAACAACAAGGCCAGCGTGGCTGAAGAAGAGAGATCAAGAAGTGGCAGAGGGACGCAGGGGGTTGGAGCAGGTGGGGCCTGGGCGGCCATTTTAAGTATTGTAGCTTTCAGAAAGAAGAAACCCCTGGTGAGGGGAGGGAGGTGTATAATAATGAACTATCACAGGATGTTGAGTTGGGAAACCACACAATGGAAAATGTTTATAAGTTAAATATGTTTCTAAATTTAAAAGGGGCAGGGGGCAGAAAATTGGTTTCTTAGAGGTAGATGGAATGGCGTGAGTGGGCAAGTCCTGCTCAGAGTACACGGTACTAATTTTGGGACAAGGTGAGTCAGTCGTTCATCTACTGATTAGGTAGGAAGGAGATATCGGATAGTGTAGGGAGGACCCAAATGACAGAAATATGGGAAAGACCTGCCAGAGGAAGGAGAAGACACATGACATATGAAGGAAAGAAGCCTGGCACGCAAATGTTGGATTATCCATAGGAAAATGACACCAGTAGGGAGTTCCATTTCACCAAGGCTTATGGAGCATCTACTGAGGCAAAGTCACTGTGCTGACTAGGACTTGGAGATGGAGCTGCATTAGGACAGAAAGACAGAGCTGGATGGGCAGGAGGGCAAAAGAGCTGTCTTAATAAACATCTTTGTCGAGAACTCTCCATTAGCCCTGCACCACCAGGTTTTTGGTAAAGAATACCTGTGGTCTGCTTCTTCCGGAGTGACGTAGTGCATCTCACCCCCTGCCACCACTTCCACCATTCTGGAGAAAAGGCCCCAAGGAAGCAAGAGGGAAGGCACAGGCTTTAGGAAAACAACTGGCAAAAACATTTCAGAATTGCCTTTCACCAGACTGCAAGGTCTGGGAAGCAGATGCAAATGAAATGTAAATGAGATGTAAATAGCTCTGTGGCCTTCCAAAAGGTTTTATACAACTGCAAGGGCCCTAGGGAAACTGCTAGCAGATAACAGTGACTCAGAAGCGGGACTGAAATATTTCAAGACAACTCTGTCACCCAGACATTTGGTGCCCTGCTAGCACCTTACAGGTTCTTTGGTAATCTTTTTCTCACTTGAATCAACCTCACCTGCTATTAAAAAAAAAAAAGTCTGTCCCCACCCCTTAAAGGTCATCTGAGTTCATTACACTTTTGAAATACTCTGTATGCCTTTAATGTTTCTTCAGACACCCTTCTCACCCAAATAAAGCCAAGACAAATGTGTCACTTCCTGTCTAGAACAGTATTTGGCTCCAGTGGATTATGAATGAAAGCGCCTCTCTTTCAGTTCTAGTTACTATGATCCTTTTAGAGTTTTTTTTTCTTCTACTCCACGCAAACTGGCACATTCTCTTCCAATAGCTACATGCTGCCTTCAAAAACGGATCCAGAAAAAAAAAATGCATAGTTATGAAATTCAATTCAAGAAGACGCGGAATAGCTAGCCATAGAGCAAGCTGCCCAGTTGCAATGCTGTGGTCTGGTCTGTGTTAGGTACACATTTAAAAAAAGAAAAAAACCCTACGGGGTTACGGGGTACATTTCTGTCAGCATGTCTGTAAGAGCCCCTAGAATGAGTCCAATAGTCGAATAGTAGGCAACTCCGCCAGGACGGCCGACCTCCCGCTGGGCAGAAACCACCTCACAGTCCCCCCCCACCGCCCAAGGTCCGTGACTTTCCAGTCTGCACACTGTCAGGGTGCCTGAGCTTTTCCCAGCAGGGTCAAAGGAAAGAAATTCCTTTTAGTCTAGGAGGTGTTTCCTTTCCAATTTCACTCGAAAGGGTCACACTGTGGACCCTGGGGCACAGAGGAATCCCGAGCGGGGCTGCGTTCGGCGCTAAACACAACAAAGAGCCAAGATGAGGAAAAAGCGAGGGAAAAAAAAAAAGGAGGGGTGGGGGAAGCCGCACAAAAGCAGGAGCTCAACCTCCACAGAGGAGAGATGGCAGACAAAGAGTAACAAAGCGAAGCCGGAGAACGCGCAGGGGGCGGCAGGCTGGGGAGTCCGGGAAGGGCGGCGGGGCAGAGGCGGGCAGGCGGCGAGCGCCCTCCCGCGGCCGGGCTGCCTCTTACCTCCTGGGCGAGCTTCTGCTTGAGCACCAGCGCGGCACACAGGTAGCCCGCGCGGCCCACGAACAGCTCGTCGGAGCCGCACTCCAGGAAGGAGACCGGCGCGCAGACGGCGCACAGAGCCCGGAACTTGGCCAGCGGCTGCACGTAGTCGGACCGTCCCAGGGCGTGATACACGAGCGTGGCCACGGCGTACACGCCCGCGCCCCCGAGCAAGAAGGCGGCTCGGGTGTCGGCGTCCGCCTCACCCCACTCCTCAGCACGGGCACACGCGTCTATGAGGCGCTTGGCTGAGCGCAGGTAGCGCTCCCGGGCGGTGGCGAAGAGCGGGCTCTGAGAGACGTGGTAGAGCATGTAGGCCACCCCGGCCACGCCGCTGTACAGACCCCCTTGACAGCCGCTGGCCGTGGCCGTGGCACCCCGGGCCTCAGCGCCGCCCCCAAGCGGGGGCAGCTCCTGGAGGATGCGCTCGATGGTGGCGGTGACCAAGGGCGCCACTGCCTCCTCGCACTGGCCCGCCAGTAGGCTGCCCTGGTAGTCATCGAAGCGGTTAGCGAAGCATCGCTTGGTGTCCATGCTGTCGCCCGTGCCCCCCAAAAGCCGAGCTGGGGACCGCTGAAAGGGTGTGCCCTGAAGCCCCGTGCAGCGCCTCAGGCTCTCCCGACGAACTCGGATGGCTGTGTATGCGGCGGGGGATGATAGCGAGAAAGATGAGACGAGAGGTGACAAGAGGAGGCGGGCGCGAGGAAGCAGCCCGGAGTGGATGGCCAAGTGGGACAGCGGGCTGCGCGAGGCTCCCGAGTGGCCCGGGCGCGCGCGGGGGGACGCGCGTCGTGCGCCCCCCTCCCACAGGCCGCGCCCTCGCCGGACCCGCCTCCTCCTGCGCCGCCGCTGCTCCTCCGCCTCTCCAAGGGGCCCGAGGTGATCACCGGCAGGACCCACGCCACGCGGGCCCCGCGCCACTCCTCCCGCTCCGCCCTCGGCTCCTCCCCTCCCGGAGGGAAGTCGGGGACGGACGGGACACCTACCAGAATGCTGAAACTGGGTATTCGCGCACCTGGCACACATACTCCAAGTGAGTCCCCTTATATACTCAAGAGTGGTGCTCTGGTCCTGGGCTTCATCACCTGGGAGCATATTAAACACGTAATTCCTCGAGTTTTGCCCCAGACCCATTGAAGCAGTATTTGGATTTGTTTGATAAGATTTCCCTGCCCCCTTCCCGCCTCATGAATGGCTTGCGCGTTAAAGTTTCAGAAGCTACTGAAGTAGGCTAGAGTGGTATGAAAAAAACTAGTTGTCCTCATTTACGCTTGTCTTTCTCCTTGCTTGCCTTAGAGTTCTTGTTCTGAAATGCTTCCATCCTAAAGGCTGGGGAGGGCTTCAGCGCATCACGTTTCATGCGTTAAAATGACAAATTGTCCCGCATGGAAACTTTTCCTAGTCTTTCCTTCTTCCGTTGTTTTTCTTGGGGGTTACAGGAGTAAATTCAACCACGCCAGGTTAGGGCGAGGTAAGAGCCTAATACACATCTTGAGGTGGCTCACTAGTTGGTGTAAGAAGAACTGCTCTGTGAGCATTTAAAGAGATTTTTAAATCTCTGTTCGGTGTGTCCTTGGCTTCCTCCTCCTCTTCCTTTCTGGTCATGGTGGCTCCCCTTTTGACTTGCCTTCCACAGCTGTTGTCAAGAGTCTCCTGGGCCTGGCAACCCGGATCTAGATGGATACATAACATAGACCTGATCCTGGATCTTGCAGAGTTTGTATCTCGGTAGTAAAGATGCCTTTCTTATGCTCAGCTCTTTCAAAATAATGCTTCTTTTCCCAAAATATTAACTCTGGAAGATCAAAGCCACCATATCTGCCGCAAGAGTAAGTGGGCAAGTGGCTCATGAGGAGGTTTCTGATATTTGCAGAGAGAGCAAGTGCCCCACTTGCTTGAGAGTCTAGCTTTGTTTGGGATTGTTTTCGTCCTTCAAAGGATCATTGTGGTGACAGGAAACAAAGGATTGAGGAAGTTGCATTGTGTTCTTCTTCTGGGCAATCTGGGGAAAGGAGCTCAGCTTGTCAACATTATTGCCAGAACTGACTATCTGTGTAGTTCAACGGAGAGCATGGCTGTAACCCTCCTTTAGTGCTGCCCAAATGGGTTTATTTCTAATACTATCATACTAGCAATAGAGTAAGTCCACTTTCAGGTAGGAAACTTGAGATGTTAAAAAAACAGGACAGGGGGCTGACACTGTGGCTCAACCGGCTACTCCTCCACTTTCAAGCGCCAGCATCCCATATGAGCACAGGTTTGTGTCTCAGCTGTTCCGCTTCCCATCCAGCTCCCTGCTTGGGGCCTGGAAAAGCAACAGAGGATGGCCCAAGTCCTTGGGACCCTGCACCTCTATGGGAGACCTGGAAGAGACTACTGACTCCCGGCTCTGGATCAGCTTAGCAATGGCCATTACAGCCATTCAGGGAGTGAACCAGCAAATGGAAAACCTTCTCTTTCTGTCTCTCCTTCTCTCTCTGTAAAAACTGCCTTTCCAATAAAAATAAAATCTTTAGACAGAGGGGAAAAAAGGAAGGGCATCAGAAAAGTAACTGGAATGTTTAGTTTCTCTGGAGGTTTCCTCATTCTCCACTCATTTCAGCCTTATAGTGATGTTTCAAACAGATTTATTTTATCTATTTTATTTGAAAGGCAGAGAAAGAAAAAGAGAAATGCAGAGAGAGAGAGTAGAGGGGGGAAGAGAGAGAGAGAGAAAAATACAGAGAGATCTCAATCCACTGGTTCATTTTCCAAATGCCTATAACAGCCAGGGCCAAGCCAGGTTGGTGCCAGGAGCCAAGAACTCCATCCAAATCACCCACATGGGTGGCAGACTCTCAGGTACTGGAGCCATCAGCAGATGCTTCAACTGGGTCCGAAGCAGAGGAGCTGGGATTTGGATGTTTACAAGCAGCTTCTTAAGCCACTGTGCCACACTGTCTGCCCTATAGAAGTGATGTTTTTGTTCCTTCAGACAGACATAAAATATATACCTTCAGAGGCAGAAATGAAGTCTTGTTCTGCTTCATTTCTTCACATACCCTTGTAATGAATCTAGAGGCAACTCTGCTAATTTGACTCTGATTATCTTTCCTCACACTGCTACCCAGTGGTAGGATTAACAGTGATGGCAGGAATCTGCATTGACTGGCTTCAAACTAGAACTGTAAGCTTGTCTCCAAAAAGAAGGAGGCTTTGCTTTTCCCAGCTCTTTTAAAGATTCATTTATTAATTTATTTCTTAATTTTATTTTTTATTGGAAAGTCAGAATTACAGAGAGAAGGAGAGACAGAAAGGAAGATCTTCCATCTGCTAGTTCACTGTCCAAGTGGCTGCAATGGCCCGAGCTGCGCCGATCCGAAGTCAGGAGCCAGGAGCTTCTTCTGGGTCTCCCACACGGGTGCAGGGACCCAAGGCTTTGGGCAGTCCTCTACTGCTTTCCCAGGCCACAAGCAGGGAGCAGATGGGAAGTGGAGTAGCCAGAACACTAACCTGCACCCATATGGGATCCTGGTGCAAGCAAGACAAGGACTTTAGCCACTAGGCTACCCTGCCACCCCTCCCCCAGCTTTTTTTTTCTTAGATGTATTTATTAATTCATTATTTTCATTTGAAAAGGAGAGAGAGAAAGAGAGAGAGAGAGAGAGAGAGATTTCATCCACTGTTTCACTTCCCAAATGCCTGCCACTGCCAAGGTTGGGCCCGGCTGAAGAGCCAGGAACTCTATCTGGGTCTCTTATGTGAGTAGCAAGGACCCAACTCCTGGAATCATTTTGTTGCTTCCTAGGATGTGTGTTAGCAGGAAATTGGATTAGAAGAGGAGCAGCCAGGATTCAAACCAGGCACTCTGATGTGAGATGTGAGTGTATCCAAAGTAACGACTTAACTGGTGTACCAAATGCCCACTCCATGTTTTCCCAGTTCAGTTGCCTATTTTTTGCCACACAAGTCTGTATTAACAATGAACTACAAAATTCTACAGAATGTAATAATAAACTTAGTGTTAATACTCTGGGGTCTTGGCTGGACCATTCATGTATCTGAAAGTGCCTGGAGAGGTAAGAGACTCAGAACTGACTTGCATGCCTCTCAGCCTCCAGTAAGCCAATCCAAGCATATATGCCTGGCAATGGCAGAAAGGCAAGAGCAAGAACAGAAATATGCAAGACCCCTTAGGGTCTATTCTCAGAATTGGCATTCTCTTTTCTGCCTTATTTCATCAGCAAATCACGTGAGAAAATGTAGTCTTTATAGGACTCCAAATTACATGACAAGTATGTGGATATTGTGAAAGGTGAAGTATTGAGGACCACAGAGATTTCTTTTTAGTGATGACAGTAAGTGACAAGGGTCACAAGATGGATGTAAAACAGTATGATTTTGGAGACGAGGTTAATAATACCTATAAGTCCTCTGGAATTTGCAAGAGAAATTTATCCCTTTACCTATGAAATCGTTCACAAAGAGTTCCTTGATGTACAGTCGCTGGCAAAACTCCAGCCCAGGACATCCTCTAGGGTGGAGCAAGCTACTTAGACTACATGTAGTCCAACCTTTTATCATCATTTACTTAATTTGCAAAAACTGTTATCCATTTTAATATTATTACTCCACTAGAATATACTTTCTGTGAGGATTTGGTTTCTTATTACATTTATATACGCATATGAATCAAGACCATAGAATAGTCCCCATTTTACTACTATTACGTGTAGTGGATTCTCACTAAAAGTTTCTCAAAGTTTATGAAATGATGAAGGAATAAGTATAAATATGCTCTTTTTAAAGATATTCTGGCATATAGAATACAATTTAAGGCCTTCATTGATGCTTTAATCAGACTTGTTTAAACCTCTACTGTATGTTTGAGTCCTTTTGCTCTTGTGAATGAGAAAATGTGGTGATTCTACAATTTCTGCTTCTTTGTTTCTCTACCAGATTAGGTGACTTCTATGCTTTACCTTGAATTTAGCGACTTTACATATTCTATTGCTACTAATTCTGTGTAGCTAGTATCTTTTGTGAGTATGACCACAGCAGTCCCCACTATGTCCCATAGTCCTTTACAATCAATGTGACCTTGGCATTCTTTTTTTCTTTTTTAAAGATTTATTTATTTTTATTGGAAAGCCGGATATACAGACAGGAAGAGAGACAGAGGGGAAGATCTTCCATCCTATGGTTCACTCCTCAAGTGAAAGCAATGGCTGAAGCTTAGCCAATCCAAAACCAGGAGCCAGGAGCTCTTCCTGGTCTCCCACACGGATGCAGGGTCCCAAGGCTCTGGGCCATCCTCGACTGTTTTCCAAGGCCACAAGCAGGGAGTTGGATGGGCAACAGGGCTGCTGGGATTAGAACCGGTGACCATATGGGATCCGGGAGCATGCAAGGCGAGGACTTTAACCACTATGCTATGGTGCCAGGCCTGTCCTTGGCGTTCTTTTCATTAAGAAGTAGGTGTATGCCACTTTCTTGAACCTGGGTGGACTTTTCTCACTCATTTATAACCAATGGAATGTGATGGAAACACCAGGGCCTGACAACAAATGCTAATGCACTCGAGGTATGCGTCTTTGTTCGTGCGTACTAGAGTGCATGCTCACATTTGGAGCCTTGAGCTGCCTT